GTTGTTGTTGTTGTTGTTGTTTTGTTTGTTTGTCATGGAAGTATTTTTAGTTTCTCCTCCAGGTCCCACCATCACACCTTTGTGTCACAGTTTTATAGATATTGACCTAAAATTTGTTGTGGTAGTAGCTGACAGTCATTCACAACACATATTCTGAAAGTGACATGGCATGAGATCAAATATTTTTAAGGTTTGACCAAAACYGCTACAACTCTGTCATTTCTCATCATAAGATGATTTCARTCTAAATCTCTGTAATAAAAGGTAATAACAGGCAGTAATCAAAATGCTTTACTTGAAGGAATGCTGGGTCTTTAATTATTGGCAGATTATTTCACTTAATTTGAGAAGATTCAGACTGTAATATAGTATTTTTTAGCTTAATTAAAGTGTAYTACGTTTACGTGTAGCTGTAGAAAAAGACCCAAGCACGCCGCCTTTTAAAAAAAACGCATAGTTGCAATGGATGCTGGGTAACGTAGTGGAAATCACTTGTGTGCATGTTTGACTGTAAAAGATGTTCATGGRTGTAAAAATGAGCTGTTCTGGTTAGTTGTTTGTGTTTAAGTTGTGCTATTGGATTTAAATTAACATCGTGAGTGAGACACTTCCTGGTTGTGTAAGAGGAAAGCACTTCCTGTTGAGGGTGTGTGTGAAGRTAAAGTGTGATGTCATTAAAACTTTACTACTATTAGCAATGTCTCTAAAAAGTATAGAACTTGCAACGGTTCCAGTTTTTTCATTTCATCTTAAAAAATGATCAACTCTTTATCATCTCCAAGCTGGAAATGTCAATGGATTTTTAACTTTTAAATTTTTTTGTCAAATCTGTTTTCCTTAATTTCATTTTGTCTAAAGACATCGTTTTTCCTAAGACTGAACATCTTTAAGAAACAAATGATGATCCAGAGTTGTCTTAATGTTCATGAGTGTGTAAAGTTCAGTTAGTTAATGCAGAACTGACCGATCTCGCAGGGCTCACAGGGGCTGCCCCAGGCCGCTCCCAGCGTGGAGCAACACTCCGACTTCAGCGTGGCTCCGTTGATGTTGACCTCACAGCGGTTGTCTTGTATCGTGAGCCAGCAAGTGCTCTTCATGCTATCTGTGGAGCCAAAGAACAACAAGGACAGCCTGATGAAATGTCCTCTGTTGTGTTTGTATGGAAACTAACAGCTCTGTTTGCATCTGAGGAAGTAGCCTAAACAACAAATCCAACAGATTGGGTAAGTGCATTTTTTTTTGTTTAGTTTTTTTTTCATCCACGTAAAACATTTGCCAAAATAATGTTTTAATGTTAAACATATGTTAGTGAAAAAAACATCTCACAAAAGCAAAACAGATTTGTTCATCAGGACATTTCTACAAAAACAAGTCAAACACGAAACCTGAAAATTAACTTTGCTCTAGTTTTCTCTGTATTGTGTCTGCAGCTAAATGACTGCAGGCAAAATAACTTTACTAACATTATACTGTTGCATTTACAATAAAATGAAAGATTGAGTCGCAAAAGTGACACATTTTCCCAAAAACCACACAACCACAAAACATTCAAAACAATTTCCTTTTCCAGTCTAAATCCTTGAACAAAAATTAACTAAACCAGAGGAATCTTTGGACCTCTGACAGAACCACTTCATTCAGTATGTGTACATATTTTTAGCGACTACTTTTCAATTCCACGTATGGATTTTGCCATGTTGTTGTATGAAGAGAAGGTTTCTTTCCCCAAAAAGAAACAAAGATCCAAAAGAAACGCTTATTAAAATTTGAGACAGTGTCTCATTCCTTATGTCATTATGATCTTTAGCAGACTTCAGTGAAGTAAAGCATGCAGCCAGTAAATCAAGGAAAGGAATGGAAATACCGGTATGTTTCTAATAAATCAACTGTGTGTCTGACGGTGGGATCATCTGAGGACAATAAAGTCCCTGACTGACTGACGTATCAGAGTTTTAGCAACAGGAAAAAAAGAGATCAAATCCTGAATTAATTAAAGAAAAGACGTTTGCAGCAGTTAGTTGTGACCTCAGCTGTGAACTCTGACCTGACCGGCCTCATGTCTTACCGACACAGATGGTGTTTGTGGAGTCCAGCTTGCTGCCATGAGCGCACTCACAGTTGAAGGACCCGGCCACGTTCCGGCACAATCCATTTATGCATGGGCTCGATTCACATTCATTTATATCTGAAATGTATAGACACACACACACACACACACACACACACACACACACACACACACACACACACACACACACACACACACACACACACACACACAGTTAGAGGTGCTTTGGGGTACAAAAATAACATTTTCTGCATAAAGGCAATAGGAATGTGGACTGCTGAACAACTTTGTGGAAATTTGTGGAAAAAGCTTAAAATGTTGTTAAAGATAGAAAAAAAAACGAACAGCAGAAGAAAGCTAATAGAAGGAAAATGCTAGCTAAAAGCCAAAAGTAGCAAAAACAAAACAAAAAAGTAGCAAAAAACTACCTAAATCTAAATAGGGCAAAAATAATA